CATATTCCCACCTCTGAAAATATAAATAAATTCCTATGTCAGATCTGCTAGATGTGACCTGACTACTGCTTAAATTGTTTAAGAGTCCAGCACTACCATTAGTTTCACATATGCCTTGGCTTCACTGCTGGTATTGTGGCAAAGGCAACATAACTTAAGTTGCTTCGATGATAAATAAGGACTTACAAAAAAAAATAGCCCATAACTTTGTAACCTAATACAAAAATATTGCAGTTAATTCTGTTGCACTGCATCCTTTAGAATTAATTCAGTAAAGATTTCAACTTTGAGAGAGTTCATTGTAACCTGTCTAATGCCTAGATCAGGGGTCTGCGAACTATGGCATGCTGAGCCATTGGACATGGCCTATGGAGCCAGGGCTTCAGCAGTGTTTGGCAGCGGGGGACTTTGCTCATACCATGCTGCATCATGCCACTCTGTGACTGGGAGGCAGGGACCTTTTCTGAGCTGCACCACAGCTGAGCAGTAGGGAAAAACAGTGGCAGAGAGAAGTGGCAGTGGCCAAGTCTAGGCTCTGGCCCACCTCGGACCCAAGCCAGGCCATTCTGGCCTGCTGCTGGAAAAGGTTGCTGAATGCTGGCCTAAAGGGTTGTCCTCTGGCAAAACTTTTAAAAAGGATGCACAGTTGGAATGGTGTATTAGTCTAAATTCATTTTGCTTAAATTGCTTCTACTCTGCTACTGCGAAAACCATGTTGTGAATAATGTTTGTGAATAGTGTTTCTAATTTTCTAAGTACTTCACAACATGGCATATTTTCTGTTATATGGGGAAAATATGCAATACTGAAAATATTTTCTACCAGAGTGTTCAAAATCATCTGTTAACTTCTTTAAAGTAACCCTCACAATACCTCTGTTAAGTAAAACTATATTGTTCTTATTTTTTAGATAAGGAAAATCAGGCAGAAGAAAATGTACTTTGATCTGTAGTCAGTTATTTAGCATCAAGAGTTCCTGGTTCATATGTACTTGCTCGGCCTGCTTGCTCCATTTTTTGCATTTGGAATGCTTTCGTATCAATTCAGGTTTAAAAAACAAACAAACATATTTTTGTTCCCAAATAAGCTCCTCATAAGCCAAGCTAGAATGTAATTTTGAAATCATAAATGAAAATAGGCATTCTTAGATTTGTACTATTTTTCCTCCTTTTGTTATAGTATGTGCATAGATCCAAATGATGAAATGAAAGCTGGCCTGCTGGCACAGGCTGAATCTCCAGATAATGTTTTCCGTATAGGCAAGTGGCAGCATTTGGCATTAACATATTTGCAGCAGCCAGAAGGCAAGAAGAATATACATGGAAAACTGTCACTATGGGTCTCTGGTCAGAGGTAAAGTATATTCAGTTACTGCTAGAACTCTCTGAATCCCTAAGAAGCTAGCTAGTAGAAATTGATCTTCCTAACTTTTGTTTGTTGAGACCCATGCCCATTCTGGGGGGAATTATGCCTAGGCTAAACTCTTAGCCATCTCTCCAGCCTTCAGCCTCACACACAGACTGTGGCTCTTGTTTCAAGTTCATCCCTTGTTCCAAAACCAAGTGAGGAAGCAGATCTTTGCATAAATTCATTTAGGTACAGAAAGGGGTTATTCATGGAGTTAGAAGTAAGCATTATCGCAAGGGCAAACTTGGTAACCAGCATAAAGGAGACAGGTGATGTGTGGGGGAGAGAGAGGAATAGTTTGTGGGTTTTTGTCATGTCACCATTCCTGGCAAGTTATTGTGGGAGTGGGCATTTTATGAGGCAGAGGGTAGAGGAGGAAGAAAAATCTGAACATGTCTATTCCTACAGTTTAGATAAGTGGTTTTCAACCTGTGGTCTGCAGACCCCTGGGATCCACAAACTATGTCTAAGGAGTCTGCGAAAGATCACTCTGATCAATCAAAAGTATGTGAACACGCACACCTATAATTCAAAGGGGTCTGCACTTCCGTTTGAAATGTTTAGGGGTCTGCAAATGAGAAAAGGTTGAAAACCACTGATCTGGATCATGAAGACCTTTACAGAGTCGTCTTCATTCTAATTATTAACTAGGGGTATGGATGAATGTACTTTTCAGCCACTTTAAAAGGGAATGGCAAACTGCTTAGGACTCCAGCAACTAGTACAATACATCTGTTACATATGCAGTGGTAGTGTAGTGGTTGGTACAAGTAAGCTAAATTTCTTTAACTGACCCTGAATAAAGCAACGTTAGAGCAGTTTCCTTATACTTGTATCACTTCAGCTTCATGCAGATGTAATGGGTGCCAATATACCTTGATAGCAGTACAGTTTCTACATCGTTATATGCCTTAGGACAGTGATCAAGCTCTAACCTTGCACAATGCTTGAAGGTACCAAAAAGAATATTCTTTGCTTTTTCTTAAAGTAAACATTCTTCTACTGTCTGTTCAGTGTATAAAGTAATATGGGAAATGTTTCTTCGTTAATTTGTTTATTTTGTGATGTAATATTGTGTTTGAATTAAAAACAGTCTCAGATTAACCAGTCAGTTGTTTTTAGTCCTGGTGAGAGATGTTCAAAATGAAATACGCATTATTTTAGCTGCCACTTCTAGTAACATTGTGATACTTTCACTCTGCTTTTTATTACTAGAAAACCTGATATTGGTTTAGATTATGCACTACCAAGGAAAACAAGTTTGTCATCTGACAGTAATAAGACCTTTTGTATGCTCGGCCACTGTACATCATCCCAAGAAGAAATGTTCCAATTGGCTGGGAAGTGGCATCTGGGAAACCTGCTTCTTTTTAATGGTATTTATTTATTCTGTTTTTATTTTTGGTTTTCTTGTTTTAAAGAGACCACTTTTTCATTACTTCTTAAATTTCCATTTAATTTAAAATATATTTTAAGTATGCCCGATTATTACAAAAATGTACTTAAGAATGATTTTTTTCTTGGGCATGTGACATGAATATAGGGAGCAAGCAGATTTGTTTCAGATTAGAACTTCCCCATTGCTCTGTCAGTCATTACAAATAACATTCCTATGAGAGGAAAAAAATACCACTGCTGAGGCACTCAGGCTTTTGTGGGCTTAATCCAGACTTCTTAGTGGTGCAGAAAACTGACCCACATTTCTGAATAATTCCATAATAAGCTGGGAACGTTTGTCTGTCCTTTCAATGAGCGCTAAGCAGGTGAATACAAATGGTCAAAAGGCAGTAGATGACTTGTTGCACTTGAGTGGAACAAATCTGTATCTGTCTTGCAGAGAGGGTATATTGTCAGCCTAACAGCCAATGCACAAATTATAATACCACATCTGGTTTTTGTGTTTTGTGGGTTGGACTGAAGCTTTAAAGACAACACATGAACTGTAACATAAGTAACCTTGCAGTAAAGGCAAACCCTGAGTTAATGGAGGATGATAGAAGTCCTTCCTGCCACACAAGTTGATCTCAAATCCTCTTACTTCCCTCCTCCATCGCAGCCGAGGTGGTCTGTTACACTGGCGACCATTCTAGTTTGTCTTCATCCTTAAGTTGCTTTCAACTCACAGTTGGTAATAGAGCTTGTTTGGTCTCTGTGTCATGGAGCGGTGTGTAAGATCTTCCTTCAGTAAAGGATTCTTGAGCTGACCCTAACAGTAAGACCGTATTCTTATAGGAAGGAGTATCTGTCTTCACTAGAGAAGGCGATATCTTGAGGCCTAGCCGCTGGGCACAATCAAACTTAAGCATGACAGTTTACTCTTAAAAACGCTTTATATGCCATACTTATAACATTGTGACTGATCATATCTGGTGGTAAGTTGCATTATGCCACCAAAATCCTGGAATCCCCTTTTCTGACAGGGTGCCCTCTGAAAGGAAAGCTGAAGAGGCCTGGTATTTCTGTAGCTGTTTTCATATATTTGCTTTTTTTAGGAGACTATCAGAAGAACTTGGTTACGTGTGAAAACTATTTCACGATGATGTTTTGACCCACAGACTACTTAAATTCATCCTTCCACAACCCCCACCCTTCCTAGCAAAAATTTAATGTAATATTTGCCTCCACCTGGATTAATGTCTGGGTTAGCAATTCCAGCTTCTCTGCAGAACTGTATCATCAGATCCATGAAGCACTTGACAGAGTTGAAATTTTCCCCCATTAAATATCACTGTATATTAATAGGACTCTGCTAGAAATGAGTGACTCTTTGAGGTGCTCAACATTTGTGATCTCAGGCTTATCTTATGGGAAGTCACAGTGGCAGTGTCTTCTGGGTGGATGAACTTCAAGCAATTGGTCTTCACAAAAGCGTGGTGTAAAATATTTATCTAAAACTTCTTTCCAAGCTGGTAGCCATTTTAATGAGCTATCCTTTTAACATCCTCTTGGGTAGGCCTTGTTCCACAAATTCCCAAAAAGCCCTTTGGCATAGTATAGAGCAGAACTATTCACTTTATTTGGCACTACAGGATCCAGGCCTCAGGGCTTCTTGTGGGCCAGACAGCTCTCCTGCCAGTAGTGTGGTGGTGGTTTGGAATAGCTGGTAGAACTGCTATGTAGGCATGGCTCCAGAACCCAAGAGGTGAACACCACTTAGCACCCCTACCCCTGCCTTTTCTCTTGCTGCCAATTTAACCTCTTTTGTTTTGCCCATAGGGTGTCACTTGAACTGCTCTGGTCTAGAGAGAGTTATTAGCATTTCCAGCTTTTTATTCCTTTTAACTCCAGTTTCTTGAGAGAAGCTGTTGGGGAAAGGACCAGGTGATAATATGATGCTGCATTCTGTGTTTTAGTACCTGGCAGCCTTGCCCTTGGGTCATGTCACCATCCAAGTCAACAGTTCCATTTGCAAGTCTGAAGACTTTTCTGGTTAATGATTTACAGAGTACAACTGCAGGGCATTCCAGCAGAATTCTACAGACTAAATAACAAGCTTGTAGAAATGACTCTCACTTCAGCTGTTTGGTGCTGCCCAAGGGATCGTCATACGGGACACTTAGCACATGTTTTATCCGTGGAATTTTATGCAGTATTAAGAGTTAGAATGTGTTCTGAGCGGTTGCACAGTAATGCTTGCTTGCTT